GCTTTTTTATCAGTACACCATCTCCATTCAAACAAAACTGCCCACTTTTTGTTTGTTCACTCGACGGTTACCTTAAGAAGAGGTTTCTACCTCATCTGACCCTTAAAAAAATGCTTTCACTTGTGCAGTCTCATGGTTGATTCAGTTATATTAAATAACATGTTTGAACTTCACCAGTTATGTTCAGATGAAGCACATTTTATAGGTTAGCTGACAAAACATTTTTACACTGTAGTCTCTAGAGCAGGGGTGGGCAAACTTGGCCCTTCCAGGCCACTTTCCTTCAGAGGTTAGCTCCAACCCTAATCAAACACACCTGAACCAGCTAATCATTGTCTTCAAAACTACTAGAAGGCTACAGGCAGGTGAGTCATGTCAGGGTTGGATCAAATCTCTGCAGGAAAGTTTTCCCATCACAGCTCTAGAGGATGGCAGTCCTTGAAATAATTTGAATGAATTATGTTACACCTTTGAGTTCGAGCACGATAAGTGTGTTGATTAAAACAGAAACTCTGTTTGTTAAGACAGAGACACCGATAACATTGCTTTATAATGAAATTGCTCTTCAGTCAGGCACCATGTGGAATGAGCTCAGCGTCGTCCCCGTGGGAGAGAAGCGCTGACCCCAATACTCTGAGACCATACCACAGAGAACGTGCATCTCTGTGTGTTACTTAATTATTCATGCCCTTTGCTTCCTTTGAGTGCCACATTTTTGTTATCATTATTGTTATTTATTTAGAACAAAAGAGGCTGACGTGCAGTTACTGCCGGCTGAAACCCTTCAGAGCCTTCTAGCCCTGCAAGATGGACAAAACTATTGCTTGCAACCCCTAGGAGTTCTTACAGTAAGCAATCCTAAGCGTCACACTTTGGTGCAGCATTTTAATGCACCTGGCCAGATTAACTGAGGTGACTGCATGTGAATAGCAGGTGTTCACGTACTGTACATGTACTGTTGTGTTCCCATGTATTTGCATTGCATGTCCTGAAACAATCCGGGAAACCATGGAGTTTTCTGCAATATTATGAATAATCAAGTGCTCATGTGCAGTGTGCTGCTGGACAGCCTCATGTGGACCAATGGCCTAGTTTTCATGATGTTAATTTAAGGTATAGGTACATGGAAAACAAATGCAGATCTACCTATATTATGTAAATAAATATATATTACATCAAAACCTTTACAAACTGTCACCTCTTCACAGAAAATGTATTCTACACTCTAAAAAATGCTGGGTTAAATATAACCCAGCATTTTTTAGAGTGTAGGCTACCATAGCTAAATGAGCCCAATGAAGGAATCATCAATAATCATCAAAAGCAGTGAATCGATAGTCTATTGACCAAAGGCTGACCAAAACTTCTGACTACCTAGTAAACAAAGTGTTCAATGTGTGAAAGAAAAAAAATAGACAAAAGGTTCAAGATGATAAAGAGATCATTTTATACATCTAGTAATTTATTATTTATTTATTTATTGTATTTTATATTATTTAATGGGGGGGTCATGAATATTCAGGATGTTTCCTTAGGGTTTCTTATTGCTCTCATACATACACCTAATTTAAGCATAGTGATTTCACATGATAACAAAATGGTTTCCTGGACATTGGTTGCACCACACTGACTTTGATTTGCCAAACCAAAGTTTTGAATATCTTAATGATATTTTAAAACATAATATACTCGCTTTAATGCAGGCTACATTACTGTAAACTATACTTGCCATCAATTTCTGTCTTTCAGTGCGGTTTCTCTCGTTTGTTTGTTTGGTTTGTTTTTGACACTTTTTAGCTTCAGATAAAATATCAGAATGGCTTTAATGTAGAAACTGAAGTCAATCACAGATAAGTCATTCAGATGTTTGTACGGAACGCATTTTTGACATTTTTATTTTAATAACCCACACCAATATAAATATTAGATTAACCACTTACGATCTTGTAATCGATTGTGGAGTAGGCTACAGATAACATTAGAGTAACATTTACTATGCGCACAATCAGCGGTACCATAATGGGATTCAAACAATACAAGTCCGAAATCTTTTTTTTTTTTTTAACACTGCTGACAGAGTAATTTATCTTCCGTAGACATAAAATGTCAAATGTATCCATAAATGTACTTATTTGGCCTCGTATGCACTGAACTGTGAGGTCAAATTGTTATTCCATCAGTGCGTAAAACATCAAATTCAGCTAGTTATAATATTTTGCTATTAAAGGGATAAAGCTTACCCACTGTTTAAGTACAAGAACAAACCCCAAGCGACGCCAGAAAAAAAGTTCCTCCGTGTTAAGATCGTGCTGAGTGCAGTTTATGCACTGGACTCATTTTCCATCCGATTCCATGTCCAAATTGTCTATATAAGCAGCTCCATCGGGCTTAGCGTTAAAGGTGATGGATAGTCCGACCCGCAGTCTCCTCTCTCAACATAAGAGCAGGGCAGGCGTGCGCACTCCGCTTAACTTCACTGTTGAATCCTCTGCTATGAGAGCTGGAGAGGAAGGACAGGGTGCGAACACTGTGTAACCCTGCACTCTGGCGGTTGATTCGGTAAATTACAATTGATGTGAGATCTGGGGCCTCATTTATAACCGTTGCATATACGCACAAAACCTGCCCTGAAGGAGGCGTACGCCACTTCCTACGCAAAACATGGGATTTATAAAAACAAACTTGACGGGAAAATTTGCGCACCTGCACGCAAACTCTGACCCATGCGTACGGACTTTTTTTCCCCCGGAGAGAGAAAAGTAATGAAGTAAACAATGATTTTAAACTCTGTTTTCATGTCGATATACACATTTACATTAAATATTCCACTCTCATTAATGGAGAAATTACATAACTGAAATTACATAATGTCATTAAACCAAAATGATATGAATTTAGACATAGCCTAGTGGATGCGCTTGATCACTTTTCCTGTTGTTTTAATGACAGCGAGGAGTGCTATGCTTACAATAATTCATCTCGAAATTAAACTGCAGATCACATGTTATGAGAAAATATTTTTAGTGAGAACAATGATCAATTATGCACACTTACTTCGATAGTATGGCAAACACTGCTGGATTTGGTGGTCGAACGGTCCATTGTCCGGTTTGATTAGGTCCAGTGATAATAGCTTACTGTACAACCGCAGCTGCACGTGTTGATGTCGTGTGAAGGCATCTCCACAACATTATGAAAAATACCACTGTATTTGAAGGATACAACTTGAAGAAAACGGTAAGATTTGCACATTTCCTTTTTAAAGTACTTTGTCAATGACGCGCGAGTCAGACAATTGTATTTAAATAATAATAACTTATGCATTTAGCAGACGCTTTTATCCAAAGCGACACAGTGCACTCAGGTTATACATCTTTTACCAGTATGTGTGTATCCTGGGAATTGAACCCACTACATTTTGCGCTGCTAGCGCAACGCTCTAATGACGCGCGAGTCAGACAATTGTATTTAAATAATAATAACTTATTGTCAGTGGTAGAGCGCAACGCTCTACCACTGACACACACACACACACACACACACACACACACACACACACACTTTAAATACTATTTGGTCAGTGGAAAAGAATGAGCTCAACTCTATTCTAAAATATTTATCTGAGAACTATTTTAAACAGTTTTGTTTTTATGGATATTTTGATATATTTCTTCTAAAACATAACAAGGATACTGGATTATTTTTAGCAATACAAATTGTGTATGGCACAAATGGCATTTATAGTCCGTATCTCATATTCCCTTAATGTCTTGTACCTTTGACGGTGTTAAACATGGTGTCACGTGGATGGAATGTGCATGGAAATGATATGCAGATGAGGTTATGCATAGCAAAACTAGGCGTTGTAAGCTCCATATGAGGAGTCGGGGTGGAGATGCACGTACGCACAATCTTACCCTGACTGGGATTTATAAAGGGATTTTTGCGCAGGTTCTGGCGTGTGCATGGTTTTATATATCTGAAAACTTTTGTGCGTACGTACACTTTTAGGATGAAATCTACGGAGAGTTTTATAAATGAGACCCCTGGTGAGCAGTGACTTGGTGGATGCAAGCATGGCATTAGCTAGTGGGGTAAAGGGTTGAAATGATTCCTGGGGCCCATGATGATTTCAGTGGAACTTAAGAATGATCCAGTATAATTAAATGTGCACTTTTTTTTATTTTGCAGCCTAGTCTGGCAGTCTTGCAAAAGTTTGCAGAAGTATTCAGTGCAGATGCAACTGTAGAAATAATCGATTTCTCAGTCAGCCATTATTAATTTATTCCGTGAGCACTCAATAACACGTACTATTACCTAGATAAAATGTGTCAAGTGATCTCAACATGTCTGCCCTCATGAGGTGACTCCATGTAAAACAACTTATATTACAAGCATCTTCAGCTTGAGGGTACATGAAACATTTCTTTTTCAACAGAGTTTTAATTCTATTCTATTCGGTTTTCTTCTGTGATGATTTTACATTTCTAATGTCCTCACACTTCCCTGGGGATCCTTGCACAAAACACTTCTCTGTCTATCAAATTAATACAGTGGTTTTGTTCAGAGTTTGCTCATATTCATTGAATGGATTATCCGAAATGGAACTGAGAGGCTTATAATTCTATTCTATTTTATTATAACCTTTTTATATTTAACTGTTTTCTATTCTGCTCTATTCTAATCAATAAATCTATTCTGTTCTGTTCTGTTCTACAAAAATAAAGGTTCTAATGCAGTGATGCCAGAATAATTTTGGGTTCTTCAAATCATTTTCAATGAAAAAAACTAAAAATGTTCTCAGTGTGCAGAACATTTTAATAATCTAAAGAATATTTTTACTCTATAAATACATTTTGTGCAATATAAAGTGTTCATGGATGTACTAATGGAACCATGGATGCTAATAAATAGAATTGTCACGATTCTATTCTATTAACCTGAGCTTCGGCAGTGATTGCGGCTCGCAGCGGTCCACGCCCAGCAGAAAAGCAACGCTCGGCTCTGTGCGACACATCCGGGGCTCATTCAGGGGTGTCACTCAAGCCTGCGAAGATGGCGACGTCGGGCAGAAATACACTCCTATCGGTTAGCACAAATGTAAATAACAGCACTTCCGAAAGCCAAAACCTCGAGGAGGATGACGGGCAGAATTTATGGTAGGCCTAGCCCGTTCTTTTATCCCCTGTTCAACCTCGGCTGTATGTGCAGAACGCGGCTTTAGGTGGCTCAGAGCCGCATGTGACAGTTGTTAGCCGCTAACTTGCAAATTGCCCCAGCCGGGCAGGTACACACAGGCCAGCCTGAATCAATGACCGCAGTGATGCATGCTTAATAAAGCGTTGTGATTTAACAGCTAATGCCACCCTGTGTTCCTCTGCGTTCAGGTCATCGATATTGAGTGAGGTGTCGACGCGCTCCCGATCAAAATTGCCGTCAGGAAAGAATGTGGTGGTTATGGGTGGGTGTTTTTTTTTTTCCTGTCACAAAAATTGCTGTTTCATGTCTGCTCTGTTTCAGCCTATTGATCTGCATCCGATTTTTCATTATTAATAAATAAGATACAATGCTGACTGAATGTAAGGGTTTGAACGTGCTCTATATGTGCACTGGTGTGATTGTAAGTGTGCTGTTATTGTTATTGGCGCACGTCATTGTCTCCAGTCGTCGCCGTCAGACACCGCGCGCGCAAAACACATTTGTGCCAGTCTCGTGAATTTTACTCGGTGTTTTTATAATTGGCCATTTATTTCGCCTTAACGATTTGCATATGGTACAGACTGTCGGGTTTGGTGAATAGAGATAATCCGCACTCTCAGACAGGGGCCGTGTCCTAAAGTCTACCGTACCGCCTACTTAGACAGCATCATAGGCGTGTTCCGAGGAACAAAATGCTGCATTTGAACTATTTTACATTCTGAAAAGGCTGTATATGTGCCAGTGATGCCTAGAAAGTGCTGTCTAGCCGTCTATGATGACTACAAATGCTATCTATGTAGGCAGCTCACTAGTTTTTGAGACGCAGCCAGTGATTGGCTCATGTTTGCTGCCTCAATGGGTGCGCTTTACTCATAGGGCGTCAGACATGATAAATGGCCATGCAAACTGAAAGAATATATTTTTAAAAATACTTTATTAATATAATGTATTATTATTTTCATGGCTGTTTTTTTACTGTTTTGCCCATGTATTTTTCCTTAGCATATTAAGATTATATTGTTTTATTAATAAACATTCTGGAGCTGTAATTTCAGTGTGCAGACATCTCGTTTTTATTACTATAAAATATATCACACTGTGTTGTCTTTGTCAAATATATGAATTCACATTAATTCCATAAATTCTTAAATCATTAGAAATCCAGAGATCTATGTTTCTCTTCCAGCTTTATATTGCTCATCAATGTGTCTTTTATACAAAACCAAAATTTTTGGTAGACTATTTATATTTTTTGGAGATTATTTATATGCTTTCACTAATGTATATGCTTTAAAAACACTGCCAACAATTCTCAGTTCGCCTATTTTATTAATTGTACGAAGAATTTGCATAAAAACGGAACAGAGAAATGCAGCATGATTATATACTATGTGTTTATTTTTATTTACAATCACATTCAAACTAATAAAAAATAATCATATAATCATAATTAAATATGCATTATATATGTTGTTTTCAGGATCCATATATCTAAATCTCTTAGGTTTTTAAAAATGATTTGTCAGTGTGTTAATCTGACTTGTTTTACAGGTGAGGTGGGGTCTGGTAAGACCACCTTGGTGGCCAAACTACAAGGTGTAGAAGAGTACATGAAGGGCCGAGGCTTAGAGTACCTGTATTTCAATGTTCACGATGATGATATCGATGGTAAATATTAAATCATTGTCTAGAGTTTGATACTGGCAATACATAAACCAGTTTTAAATGTATAACCTTAAATGACACTGAATTAGAGAATCTGCACTGTAAAAAATGATTGTGATTTTAACAGTAAAAGACTAAAAATGCTACAGTAAAAACTTGTTAACTGGTTACCAGTAAGTTTCCATACTACATATGGTGAATAAATGTAATTACATTTAATGTGATTTTACAGTAAAATACTGTTAAAAATAAGGTTTTTGAAAGTGAAAGAAAAAGTTGTATAATTCACAGTGAAAAAACGTAAATTGACACTCCCAGAATTCCCCGCATGACGCTTCATAGTTGATGGTTTTTTGTTGAAATAGCTATGTTTCTTCTTAGTTTTTTCTTATCAGTTGTGTACACTAGGGTTTAATCTTACATCTAATGTTAAATTACCGTATTGACCCGAATATAAGACGATGTTTTCTTCTTGGAAATCCATCTGAAAAAACGCGGTCGTCTTATATTCAG